TTTAAGTCAATATTTCTGCTTGGTTTGTGAGATTCTGATATTATTATGCCCAATAGGTGTGAATAAATAACTCGTTATAATTATTACAACATTATTTAATGAGGTGACTTTTTGGTTAATGTGTTATGCAACATGTTTGTTGTCTTTATTAATTAATTAATTAATTAATATATTTATTTATTTATTTATTTGTTTAAATCAACATGTATGTCTCTATTTTTTTAATGTTTTAATGTACTGTATTGCAAACTGATCAAAATGCACATGTATAAAATATGGTTATAGGGCTCGCGCTCGGCATTCTTTCAGCTGTGCTTTGAAAAAGAGTGTGATGATCTTTTCTCTAGAACTTTCAGTCTTGCCGGTCCACTTGCTCGCTCAAGGGGAACAAAACAAAACAAAACATTTTAAAAAATAAGAAAGCCAAAAAGGCAAGGTCCTGAGGCAAGGCCTACCAGAGACACTAACTCTGGGCCTACCTCCATGCAGTCCCTTCTCTTCATTGAGAAAAGCTAATGCCACATTGGCCCTGTACAATTATACACCTACACTGGAAATTTGAATTTATCAGCCGATTGTGTATTTGCTGTCAAACGCCTGATTTCTTATTATCTTTCGTTTAATAGGTTAAGACATATTTATTTATTGTATTGTGAACGTTGTGGGCGACCTGTCTGACTGAAATATTTTAAACACTGACCTATTTTCCTCAGCAAAAAATCCTGGCATATTGGAAAATTGCCAAGAATGAACCACAACCACAAACATAAGCTTTGATCCGTCAGACGTACGAAGTACGAGGTCTGCTGTTGTGTGCGGTACAGCTGTGTAAAAGTAAAAAGGGCGGAGTAGGCGGAGGCTATCATCGAGAAGACGAGATACAACGACAGTCGGAGTCATAGCCTACGTGCTGCTGTTGGCAAGTGGTTTCTCCAAGCTCAGGCGTATAAATGTGAGACGGATAAAATCCATTCAGCAGTTCTCAGTGTTGCGGGAGAAGAGACTGAACCTGTCTGTGGAAACAACTTCGTGTCGTAGGAACGGGTTTTTACAGTTACCCACCATTTTCTTCAGCCAGTTTACATTATTTTTTTTCATACTTGGTATTTCAATTATTATTCGAAGGAAAACAACGCTGCATATAAATGAGACAAGTGAAGTCTTCGAGTTTTGAATTCCTCGAGCCAGATCAAATTGGTAAGTGTAACAATTACAAGCCAACATTTTTAGCATCATCAGATCCTGCCGGGGTGGGGGGGGGGGGGGGGGGGGTAGATCTAGATCTAGATCTACATCTCGATTTCTAGATCTAGATCTAGATAGAGTCTAGATATCTAGATCTAGATCTAGAATCTAGATCCAATTGATTGATAATTTGCCATGTAAACGTGCAGATTGTGACCGGATTGAACTTTGGGGGACCCACCGTGTGTACGTGTGTATTAATGTGCACGGCGTGGGGGGTTTCAAAGAGGCTTTCCCCCCTGATGATACTAGTGATACTGATAGTGGGGGGGATATGAGGGGGGCTTGCACCCCTGTTAGTGCAGATTGTGTGTGACCGGATTGAACTTTGGTGGACCCTAAGATTGAAGAATACCGGACCAGCGGACTGACTTTGCCTATGTCTAGCAATGCCAATCGGGCTTTCCCGCGAGGCGAAAATTTGGTCCCCGTTTACGGGCGATTTTGCGGACCCGGCCGAAGCGTAGGTGACTAACTTTGTCAACCTCGGTCTGCTCTATTTCCGAACCAATCCGAATGAAACTCGGCTACCAATCAGAAAATAGGGCAAACTAATGATATGTGGACGTTGAAATTCGTACACATAAATTAACCTATACTTTTGGTGTCGGGAACACTTTCGTATCGTGTACACCGAAAACTATAAAGAGTTTTAATTTCAACGCCCAGATGGTAATAGATCTATCTATCCTCTATAGTGTGCTCAAATTTGAGAGTTCTGTGTCAAGTAGTTGTTTAGACCCGATCGTAAATCTACGACTACCCCCCTATCCAAAGCGGCTTCGCACGGAGACCGGCCATTTTCCCCTCACTCCCGTGGCAAATGTCTGTGACCTACAAATCCCCGCATGACTATTCTGGGCCCGTTCATTGGTCACTGAAATAGGGCAATGGCGGGCGCGCGCATCCGGTTGTTTTTCTCTCTATTCCCCTGTAACATCGCAATGGGGGTATTCCGAGGCGAGGTTATCTCGTCTCGGGGTGTTCGCGTCTCAACGGGGAAAAAGAATTTTTAATTGTACGGCATGCTAGATTGAATTAACTTATCTTTTACGGTTGGCATGGTCTAAAGTCATCATAAAAAGCTTTGCAATTATTTAGTCACGCTGCCGACATATATTCTTAAAGATCCCATGTTGTGATACGATGCTATAAATAAAATGGACTCATCCCGACACCCCTTTTTCGCAAAATCGTAATATGTACACCACAATTTTAATTATAACAAAATAACTACGAAATTGGTAGTAAATCTGACTGCAGAAATGATTTCTACACTCAAAAACACATCGGGTAGCCAAGTTTCTCTCGGACATTTGGATTAGTTACCGAGATATCGTCGATTTTCTTACAGAATCTGCTACTGCGTGGTCCACTCTTTAGGAGTATTTTCCTATATGTGGGTCATCCATATTTTGCCGACCTTTACAACCCCATAACTTTTTTATTTATGAACCGTTGCTCAAAATTCAAGAAGCATGATTATCAGAATTGAAAATTCTTTCTTAGGTACCAAAAAAAAGGGAACAAAAGTGAAAATTTAAATTTTCATTGGCATTGCTACTATGTCTCAACCTTAGCCTTAGGAATTCATAATTTTCCCGTTTTTAATATCTCTCAATGGAGAATCTCGGACAGGTAGATCTATTCTATTCATTAAAATTTTGTCGGGGGGAGACCCCCCTGAACCCCTCCTCCACCCCAACCACCCGCCCCCACCTACCCCACATTCTCGCGCAATAATGTACGAGTGGTCCGATATTCTTCAATCTTCCCGTAGTGATTTTTTGGGTTAGTTTTGCTACTTTAGGGGTGACTAAATGCAAAATAGGTTAAATTTCTACTGCCAAAGTCGAGCAGTCTTGTTTTCTCGCAGTACCTTTTGAGGTGCTTTTTCGGTAGTTCCCACCCCCCTTATTTGAGCCTAGAATCTAGAATAGAACTACTCTAGATCTATATACTATATTATACGTTTGATACGTGGCGAGCTAAGATTATATATCAAACAACTGCAATTATACTTAAAATTTTATGGTAAAATCAGGGGGGAACCCCCCCACCTTATTTTTATTATGTCAGGGGGTCCCCCCTACTCATGGGGCCAAAACCTGCGAATAACAATTGCGGGGTGGGAACTACGGAAACAAAAAGCGTCCCTTTTGAAGGCATTTAATTTTTAAATGAAGTATAGTCCGGGAACGTTGCTGCAACCAGATATTATAGGTATATATATATATATATACGTGGAGGGATTTTTTTATGTGATTTAGAATCTAGTTTTTGCTTTAGGGATGACTAAATTTATGCAAAATAGTATAGAAGTTACTGCCAAAATCGAGCAGTCTTGTTTTCTCGCAGTACCTTTTGAAGGCATTTTCAAATGAAGTAGCCTAGATCTAGTCCGGGAGCGTTGCCCGAACTACAATTATTGAAGTGTCTGAATATTCAGACAACTAAAAATTTTTAGTTCTAGAAATTGAATTCAATGCAAAAAAAATGCTTCTACCCAGTCCTCGCAGAATGGCAGAATGAAAGATGACGCCGAACTCTCGCAAAAAACCAACAAAACTCGAGAACGGAAACCGTTCAGAGGGAGGAGAAATAGAGTTCAAGTTTATTATCCCGAGCGTTCGGAAAAAATAATCTGGGGGGTTACAACCCCCCCTTCCCCCCTGTTTTAACCCTTACAGTAGTTAGGTTTGAAATTTTATTGAAAATTAATCTAATTGATTTTCAACAGTTTTGGTGGCTTTAAAAGTGTGATCTGCAGCAAACAAATACAAATTTGCCGAAAGCTTCACTGCACTCACCCTACTCTTAGTAGACAGCCTTTGTGTCTTTTAGGTCTTTTCATTCATGTTATGGTTAATTGAAATTTTATTTAGAAAGTGCTGGCCATTTATAGGCCTATACATCCCAGAGAGCTGCCTCCACCTGGCTGGCAGAATATTTAAAGCTGTAACAGTAACAGAATTGTCCTAGATTGTTGATTACCCTGGCTTTAACAGCAGCAACATTTTTTTTCCAGCAGCTTGTTCATTTAGCTGCAGTTTTCTGTTTTTTTCCAAACATACTTTTGTCATTTTTAGAAGAATTCGATGTTGTTGGCATAACCCCAATCTTTTAACATAGAATCTATGTATATATTATAATATATAGGGCTTTTAAAATGAAGTCTTCTGACTGATCTTCTGAATAAACAAGAATAGTGCACTACTAGAAGGATTCTAAACATCAGATGGCCCCAAAAGTCCCAAGTAAAATAGTACCCTTTTTTTGGAGTTTGGAGTCTGCACATCAGGTAATAAGACATTCAGAACTTACTTTGACATATTTCATATTCACAAGATATTTTAATATTATATAATAAGCTGTTTCATCCAGGCTTAAACTCTGTAGTACAAAATTCAGATAAATTTAAAAATTACAACACTTGACTTAAACTCCATTAGCCTACCTGTTCAACAAGTTTTAAGACTTTTACTATTGCATTGTTTGAATAATTTTGTAAAAGTGATGTATCACGGTCACGTCATTTTCTGAAGGCTAAATTGTGGATCAGGCTTCTAATTAGGCTTTTAAGAAATCAATTGTTCTTACATTTTAACCTCAGTATTTGTAATATAATTTTAAAAAAGACACTGCCCTTTGTCATCATAAATATCTTTTTTTTTTGTAAGAGTTTTACAGCACTTACAAGTCAGTTAGGTCATGTAGTGCCGAAGATTAGAGACAAAGGAGTTTAGGGAGTAACAAACACAAAAAAGAAGGAGGAGCGATTTCAGGACGATAGCGATGTTTGATAGGAAAGAAGGAGCATACATTAAACACTCCGAAGCACTCTTCAACCATCCACATATTTTTTTTCCCGGAGGGATAGGATCACCTGTGCTTGTTGAAGTGAAAGTCTGAAAAATGTAATTTCTTTGTTGCTAGCATCAGCCCATTCCTTGGAGTGTTGGTGAGAAGACTATCACTATAAATGTCGGTTTTAATTTTATTTATATGCGTGTTTATTAGATTGTCTTTTTCGCCCTTTCTTTTTATTCAGATCAAGCTGATGTATCAGATCATTTGACGGCCGCTCTTAGTCCCTACAACTCTGGCAAAAGCGGACGGGAAGGATGGACCTGTGCATGGGCTCCGGACAGCTCCTACTTTGCCTGGTCCAGTGGTTATCGCATACTGCACTTGATTCCATGGGACGCTAACAAAAAGAAAAGGTGTGGGCATGCTTTTCAAATCTAACTTGACTTGTCATGCGTTTTCTGAGGCTGCACTTCAATCTCTATTGTTTTGATGGAGATACTAGATTAGAGCAGTGATTCCCAGAATGGGAAGTAGCATACCTCGGGGAAGGGGGGGGGGGGGGGGGTAAGTGACGCAAACTTGAAATGCAGTCTCAAGAAAGTAATAATATGTTGTAGTGATGACAATGTTCAATAGAGGTTTATTTCTCTCTCTCTCTCTCTCTCTCTCTCTCTCTCTCTCTCTCTCTCTCTCTCTCTCTCTCTCTCTCTCTCTCTCTCTCTCCCTCTCCCTTTCCCTCTCCCTCCCTCCTTCCCTCTCTCTCCCTCTCTCTCTCTCTCTCTCTCTCTCTCTCTCTCTCTCTCTCTCTCTCTGTGTCTCTGTGTCTCTGTCTCTCTCTATGTCTCTGTCTCTCTTTCTCTGTCTCTCTCTCTTTTTGTGTTGCTAAATCTGTTTTTACTTGAGAGGATCTTTTTTTTTTTAAATTGAAGTTCCAGACCTTTATTATAAAATTTGTTATCTTATTTTGTGGCTCTTTATGGATGATCTGATACTGATGATCCTCAAGAGATGATTTGAGTTACTGCTCAAAAGTCTGTTCTCCATGAAGATATTGTTCCACTCAATTACTAAACAACAACATGAAGATGTTGAAAGGTGCTAGGGCATGTAATTGTTACTCTCCCCTTTTTTCTTCCCAGGCATGATCCGGCGGACACGGAAGGTTTGAAGGAGCGGAAGTACCACATGATAGATTGTGGAGAGTTGATATGGGCTTTAGCGTTTGGATCTGGACTACCTCAGAAAGCATCTCACATCTACAGACATTGCAGTTATGATAAAAACCTTGTTGTTGCCACGGGTCTAGCGAGCGGAAGGATCAAACTCTTCAACTGCTTCACAGGTAAGATATTTTGAAATAGTCAGTAATGAGCAATTGTCATTTGGGTTTTTTTGTTGGGGGGGGGGTTGTACAAGAGAAATCATTTACATTGTTTCAATATGCGAAACATTTTTTTAAAGATAAAAGGCATCCTTTTATAACTAACTGGCTGGAATGAAGTATATGATTTGTTTGAATGTAAAACAACAGGCGGTCAGGGGTTTTTTTTTGCTTGCTTACCCATAAGATCTGACTTATCATAATGTGCTTGAATTTTCAGAATAAAGGAAAAGGCTTTAGATTCTGTTGTTTTATAGTATTGGTCATTTTACGGGTGTGGAAGTTATCTAAGTTGTGAAATTGTCCATAGACACGTGTCGGGCACTTCAGTGATACTGGCACGCATGTAGTCAATACCACCTAGTAGTTTAAGATGACTATTGGTTTTTATGAGGGATCTTCTCAACAATCATTTTTAGAACAGATTTGTGTCAGAAAGGAGAAACTTTTGAATGTAGGCAAAAGTCTGCGCTGAAACAGGATGAATGTAACATTTATAATTACGTATTTGTGTAGAAAACTGCCTTCAAAATCACACCATCAATGATCAGTATGAATGAGTCAAAACTGATCTTGAAAGTCTCGTGATACTACCTGGTTTACATTTTGTAGTAGTGCTAAAGTGATGTTTCTGTGGGTGGTTGGCGGGTGCTCTGGTGTGGTTTGCTTCTTCTTTCCTATCAAACATCTATCGTCTTTATCTCTCCTCCTCCTTTTTTGTGTATGTTACTCTCTTGTAACACATCTATTCTTCGGTACTTATAGATGACCTTATTGTGTTGCAAGGGCCATAAAACTGTTACTAAAATAAAGTACTGCATGGTTAGCACTTTGTAGTAATGCTAAAATAATGTTTCTGATTTGGTTTATTAAAAATGGACAGGTTCTGTGATTGTGGAGCTCCTGGATCATCGTGACACAGTTCGTGGACTCGACTTCTCCAAAGATGGCAGCCTGCAGCTCATGTCTGGGTCTCGCGATGGGACCCTCAAGTTGTGGGATCTCAACAACGAAGGGAATATGTATTGCACTCATAAAGCAAGGGCAAAAGTGAACGCCTGTAAATTCTCCATGAACGGAAAATTTGCTGCCGCAGTGGGAACGAACAAAACGGTGAGCATTCTTTACTGGAGCCTATGTAGCCATTGTGACAAATCACTGCCCAAGGAAAGATTTCCATGTTTTTAGGCTCTGAACACTTTCACATTTTGAGGGTCAAACGTTTTTCAAAACATCTCCAGTGGCTTTTTAAAATATTTTTTTTCCCTTTGGTAGGTAATTTTAAATCTACTGGGGTTGTGGAGACTCCCAATTTTTTTCACTTAACGGAAAACTGTTTTTGGAGGGGGTAAGGTTTGGTACTGTCAAACCTGCCCGAATGGCCACCTGTCTTAGACTATCACCTGTCTTGACGGCCACTGCCCACTCCCCTCTTGTGTGTTTTTTTTAATTTAAAAAGAAAAAAATTATAATAAACATAATGAATAATGAATCATAATGTCCACCTACCTGTCAGAGACCATCACTTTTCCTCTTGACAATTGTGGTCGTCTTGGACAATTTTGACGGTGCACAGTCATTTCCATTGATTCCGTCCCTCCCTCCTTCAGGTTTTGCTCTGGCACGGACCCATCAAGGACAGTCCGTTTTACAGGCTCGAAGGACATCACAATGAGGTGGTTGGCGTGGACTTCAGCTCTGATTCTGTGCTCATGGCTACTGCATCTTTTGATACTCGAGTTATCATTTGGAACGCATACAGGGTTCAGAGACTTCGAGAGTTGGGGTGAGTATTGCGGGAACTTTTAGGAACATTTCTAATTAACTGTTGTGTAGCAGCCTTTCCAACTGTTCTCAATTTCCTGCGACTGTCCTGGATTCGGCAATCTGCAATTTTTTTGCCTTATCGAAGACAGGATACGAAAACTAGTCCGCCTTGATATAATTTTGTTTGTTGATGTTAGTTAATCTGAAGTTTTAACATTGGGTGTCTCTGATTGGGTTTTGAAGAAATTGGCAAGCCTTGGTATAGTTTTATGGGCATTTCAGGTTATTTTCCCTTAAATTGTAGTGTAATTAGTATACTTTATATGCATGTTTTCTTTTTATTAGTGGGGTTTTAGATATATATTGTCTTTGTACTTGAGTTATAATCAATAAGTTTTAAAATTTGGTTTCTTTTCATTCATGTTTTTTTGTGGGGGTTTTTTAAACATTTAAGCCTGTGTTTTCTGACATACAACATGAGTTTGATATGAATGTAATATTAATAAGTGTTTTGTTTACCCCTGCTGCAGGCATTTGCATCCAAGCCCTAGTCTGATTTTTGCTGGTGGTGCCAATGACAACTTCGTTCGCAGTGTGAATTTCTCTCGCGATGGTGTGAATGTGGCCACAGTTTGTGATGATGGGTAAGTTCCTGATGTCAGTTCTATCATATCTAATAAATATTGGTGATTTATGTGGAGTCAAGTTATCTATGTGCGACATGTAATGTTACTGTTTTTTGTTGGACTGTTTGGACATATTTTGTGTTATATTATATCGTTCAAATGTGTTTCCACTGGCCAGTAGCTTTAACAATCCTCTTTCTCTCGTGTATTCTAGTTGTGCAATGTTCGTTAACTGTGTTAAGACCAGAGAATTCAGGGTGGTTCAACATTTACTCACAAATACACTTGGAATTGGTCAAAATGGACATCCATTGTCGTGGGAGAAAAGTAATTGTCCGAGACAGCTGGACGTCTTGGACAGTGCGATTACACTAAAAAGCCATTGATTTTGAAACTCGAGAACAGACAAACTGTTTTTCACTTTGAACGCCTTGTGTAACATTAACTTTGCGAACACTTGCTTTTCCATCCGGTCCACGTCACGTGTGTCTTGTGGTGGGTGGTTTGAGGGTGCCACAGGTAGATTTGAGTACTTTACCTTACTTTTACTTTCCTTTTATCCGCCGCTTATACCCTTTTGGCTGTCACGGGAAGAAAAAGACGTCTCTCTGTCACCAGCCGCAGTACTTGACTGTCTCTCTTTCTTTTATTTCTGCCCATCTGTCTGTCTTACCGTTTCACAGCCGTAAATAGCAGTCATTGTGCTGATAGGTTTCTCTTGTCCCCAACAAAGGAAATATATCTTACGGTGTGTTCTTTGCCTGTCCCCACAGCTTTGTTCGCTTCTGGCACTGGGAGGAGGATGGAGACCCGGTGTCAGTGCTGCAAGTCTCTGACCCTCTCTGTGGTCAGTTTTCGTCGGACGGAACTGTTCTTGGAGTTGGGTAAGCATTGACATTTTCCTATTTCTTCCTGCTTTTGTGCTTTTGCAGACAGTTCTGTGTAAGAGGTGAGGGAAGCTCTCGGGAAATGGGAATCTTACTTTCTCCCAGCTTCACCTGGCTGTGAGTTGTTTCTGCTGACTTCTTCCATCTATTTTTGAGGGGAAAAAATTATGTGAACATTGATTTGATATTTTTCTACCATATTACATGTAATATTCAAAATGATAATCTTAAACATAGCTCTGCTATGCATGATTGTCTTGGCTGTATTCAGTCATCGGGAGTATTCTTCATTCACTGCTCAGCAGAATCAACGCACAATGAAAAAAGAATATCTTTGTATTGGTTACCTTTGCTTCATATGGCATACTGATAATTTTATACTTTATATTTAAGCACTTAAATAACATGTATTGTGAAAAGAAAATTTCTTGTTTAATCGAGCTGAAGATATATATCTTTTAATTTTTAATAATGCAATAATAAATAACATAGTGTTCATTGGTGATTTACCGTTCCTAAATTTGCTTTTTATGTAAACAGTTCAAGTCTTTTTATCAGTATTATGTATTGAGACGTAAACAGTTTGCTATTGAAGAGTTTACTATCTTTAAAAAAGTTTGTTAAATGTTCTGTCCCATGCGTGTTCATGTGATTTGAGTGTTTTTTGTACGCAAGTGTGGAAAGTGGAACATTCTCGTGTTTGTGTGGATGTTGTGTGCATTCTGGACCTTGTGGAAAGCTGAGTGGTGTGATGCCGGGGTGTGATTATTTTGTTTGGTTGCATGCTTGGTGTGGTTGTTTTGATTATAATTTGAGAGAGAGTGAGGAAGATATAATATGAGTGAACAGTGGGAGCTGGTTTGTTGCTTCATCATTTTGTTGAGCGCCTTCTCAAAGTGGGTATTTGTTGAAACTTTTTGTTGGTCTGAAAATGTTTAATCTTTTGGATTACAGTTGTCAAGATAGATTTCTCCTGTGTTTGAAAAAAAAATTATTATAAAGCTTTAAAAAAGCAGAAATAATGCTTAAGGACCACAGCCACCTGTTGACTTATGAATTTCAATTATCGATCAGCAGTTAACGACTTATTTTTTAAGAAAGCAAGAACAGGCAGACAAAGATTCTCATTCATACAAGCTGCAGTGAAGTTACAGAATACACAGTGCTACTATTGAAGGAGAGAGAGAATTTTATGTAGTGGAGATGTTTCATTTTCTTGTCGTGTGTATACGTGTGTGCACATGAACTTAGTGAATCATCTACTATTGAAACCAACCAACTCAAAATTTCTCCCCAATAGGTGAATCAAGATTATCGTTATCATTTTCCAATCCCCTCTGATAAAAGACTCACAACAAGATTTTCCAATAACTCCCTCCCGTGTATGATCCCAGTGTCTCTTTTCTACGGACTGTAACAGTGTGTTTGGTGCCTGCCCCTATCTGTCACTTATTTATTACACATCTTTATGGATGGCAAGTTCCCTTTTGCGTCAGTGTGGGGTGGGGGGGGGGGGGGGGGGGAAGAGAAATAGGATATAGTTATTTTTTTAGAAGTTCTATCAGGCACAGCTGGGTATCTAAGACACTCTAAAATACTACCTTTCCGTAAAAAATCTTATGTCTTCCTTCTAGGCAAGAAAGTTCCTCTCCAGGGTAATTGTGTCAACATTCTCTTTTATGTAAACATCCACTCATTTCTCTCACGGAAGGATAAGAATTGTAGGTCATATAGATAAGTGTTGCTCGGATCCTGAAGTGACGGAATGTCTTGTAATGACCAGTGACGTCCCCAAACTACACGCAGAAGTAAATGAGGGGCTGTGAAGTTACTGTATTCAGAAGTGAATCATCAAAGATAATAATGCTGTGTAAGGAGAAGAAAAGGGGTTGTGGGGGGATGGAGGGGGGGAGCATTGCTCCATTGTAGTTTCGATAAGGCTTATTATAAGACATATTATTGTTCTGTTTGAGTGGTATCTGCCTGTGTGGGTGGTTGGTGGGTGTTCTGGTGTGGTTTGCTTCCTCTATCCTATCAAACACCTATCGTCCTGATTTGTTACCCTCTTGTAACACATCTAATCTTCGGCACTTGTGTGACCTTATAGTGTTGCAAGTGCCGTTACACTCTAACTAAAACCACCTGCCTGTGGTCTAAGCACATATAACGGTCGTGCTGTACTGTTTGTGCCTTGTGTTGTTCATCAAGTCACAGAACCTTTTGTGGTTGCTCTTGGGAGGGAAGTTTTGTCGAGTAAAAGTGTCATGAGTGACTATTCTAACGTTCAAAGGGATGGGTTCTTTTGTTTTAACCAGTGTCCCTTATCTGCCTTCTGATTATGTTTTCTTTTCACTTGCCCCTCAAGCTATCTCTAGTAGGTCAGCAGTCACATAAATCCTGTGACAAGATTTTTAGTGTAATACACATTATAATATTATTGTTATTCACAAATATACGGATAAAAATTATAATATTATTGTTATTCACAAATATACGGATAAAAAATATTATAATATTATTGTTATTCACACAAATATACGGATAAAAAATAGGCCAATCAATGTTTTGCCGTGAACAATAAGTACGCAATCAACGGTCACTAAACGTACACACCTGTTTGCTTAATGATCCCGTTTTTGTTTTGTTTTATCATTGTTAGAGCAGTGTTAATTGGCGTGAGTCATGATGACACAAGGTGGGTGGTTGGCGGGTGCTCTGGTGTGGTTTGCTCCTTCTTTCCTATTGAACAACTATCGTCTTTATCTCTGTCCTCCTTTTTTATGTTTGTTACTCTCTTGCAAAAACTTATATGACCTTATTGTGTTGCAAGTGCCGTAAAACTCTTACTGAAACGTAATGGCACACGGGTAGTAAGCGTTAGGCCGAGATAAAGAGCTCGCCCTCACTCTGTTCGAAACAGTTGCATTCCATTGTTTCCTTGCGCACGCTTGACTGTCCCCCCGCGGTTTTATGCAAAAAAAATTCTGAAAATCTGCATACTGAGCCCAAAAATGTGAAATTAATCGATTCTGTTAATTTTAACAAAGAACGATAACGGAAAATAATCAGAAATTATGCCCAAAAAAATGATAGAATTTTGCTAAATTATGCAGGGTGCATAAAACCACAGGGACATGCTTGACGGGATTTCATCACGATTTTCTCCTTGGCTTTCGCACGCGGAAAAACCTGGCATGTCGTGACGATAACTTATTGTTGCGTCCTGGCCAAGTCTAGGGGGGCTGGTTGGTGTGGCGTGTGGTCCTGGCCTAGTTTTTCTCGCTCGGTGTCGGCGAAGATAACGAAATACCTTCGGGAGGGCGCCACGAAATGCGCAAACAAGCGGGCCCGCCTTGCGTCAGGTTGTTGTTGTTCACACATTCCCTGGCCTGTCGTAAACAGAGAGCACTGTGACATCATATTAGATTTCGCTGTTTTAAAAATACTCCTTCGTCCTTTGGAGTATTTCATCTCTCTCTCTCTCTCTCTCTCTCTCTCTCTCTCTCTCTCTCTCTCTCTCTCTCTCTCTCTCTCTCTCTCTCTCTTCATCTAATTTTCTGCCTCTCTCCCCTTTTTCTCTTTGCCTCTGCCTGTCTCTCTCCATCAGTTTGTTTCTCTGCTTCTCTATCTATCTCTCACTCTTCTACTTTCTCTCTGTCGTTTCTCTCCCTCTCTCCCACTTACAAAATGTCCCTCTCAGTCTCTCTCTGTCTCTCTTTCTGTCTCTCTTTCTGTCTCTCTCTCTCTCTCTCTCTCTCTCTCTCTCTCTCTCTCTCACTCTCTCTCTCAGTTCCCCTTTTCTCTTCCTCTATCTGTCTATCCACCCATCT